TAAACTCATTCAAATCCTCATATACACTGACTGTCACACCGAATAAAAAAGTATGTGTCAGTCAATTTCTTCTTGTTGCGACATACTGTAGTCCTAATATAGGACTACAGAAATATTTTCGCATTCATTTAGTTCAGTCTGCGCCCTGAGTAGATTATGGTAAGAGATCATGATGCAGATGATTGCACGACTACTTCTTTTACTGTGGATTTTGTGCAGCTTGTTGGTCGCATTCTCCAATTGCAGAACTTTGTGCTCAAGGATTTTCTTTCAAAACATCAATGAAAAAACCATGCCTTACAAAGTCATTGAAGGTGTATACACCAAGGAGAATTACAGTCACAACAACTTCCCTGTGTATCGGCGAGAAAACGGCAATCTGTTGTTTTACTATAGCAATATATCCACTGAAGACGAAAAACGTTTGATTTTTGGACTTAATCCAAGCGACTACTTTGGCGTCGCTGCTCATGTTTATAATGCTGTCGATCCTGTGTCGTGGCTGACTTCCGGGAGTTTGGATAGAAGTGATGTCTTTGGAGGATTAATAAGCTTTTGGCAGTTTTGGAACATAAGCAATAAAAGCGTTGGCTATGTTACAGTTAGTAGTTCGTCGCCTATGATTAAAGCTGTATGCGTGGATGAAGATTTCAGGGAATGTAACTCAGACAGACTTTACTTGAATGTTATGTTTACCGATGGAAAAGGAAATGTTGTAAACGATCACATTCGAGATTATTTTCTTCGCAAGCCAGGTGTCTTCCGCAACCTTCGTCCTTTGTATGAGCATAGCAGACAAAAGTGGTACCTTCAATACAACCCAGACGGCTTCTGGGTGGTAACTGGACGGTACGCACCGAGTCGATTACTCGATCAAGTTTTTATCAAGACTAAAGATTTCGCCCTGCGACCAGAGTACATCAGTAAGACTTGGTCAGTCCATGATAACAATAGATGGCGGGATATGCCTAATCTTAGACTCTTGTGTAGAGGAGTAAATTCGATGTTGAATACTTGTCCATCGAAGCCATGTGATAGCAAGGCTACCTGCATCTACACTTTCGGTAAGGAGACACTTTGTCTCTGCCCTTCCGGTTACACCGGCGTGACATGCTATACTAACAAGCCATGCCGCTCCAACATCATAGCTGGAACAGAGCTGAAATTTGCATATTTTGGAAATAGGCCTGGCGATCTCGGCTTATTTTTCTGCAGGGGAAGGTATCCTTCTGTAAGGTTTGCCCTCTGTGTGGATAGCAAATACAGCGCTAAGTGGACTAGACAAGGGAGAGCCTGCCGTGGAGGGAATACTGGCAGCGATTCTTTTCCCTGGACACCCTGGTACAGAAAAACCACAGAGAGGTCCTCGTATCAAAGAACCGACACCACAGATCAACTTCCCACTGCACAAACTAGTCGTGTCGACTTTGCTGCCGACCCTGTAATCTTCCCCGTGGTCCTTTCTTCTTTCGTGCTTCTAAAATTGCTCGTGCAATTTATCATCTACTGCTGCGCCGTGTGTAAGAAAAAAAGTAAGGAAGGCCGCAGAGAAGAAAGGGAAGATGCGAGGAGGTTACAGGAAGATGACGGGGAATTAGGAACGAGACTGGAACAAGTTGTTAGGGCCGGGAGTCAAATGGAACTTGACAGTGGTATCCAGGATTACCAACCAACCGTCCAGGGACACCAACGTGAAAATGAAAACGGAAAACTGAGCCGCAAAAGAGGATTGTACAGAAATGCAAGTTTATGGCGAATCTTTTCCATGCTCTTGTTTTTTTACTTTCACCTTTGGGTGCTGTATCTGGTGGGTTGTGAAATTTCCCAGTGTACTCGATACGGACATAGTTTCNAATAGATGGCGGGATATGCCTAATCTTAGACTCTTGTGTAGAGGAGTAAATTCGATGTTGAATACTTGTCCATCGAAGCCATGTGATAGCAAGGCTACCTGCATCTACACTTTCGGTAAGGAGACACTTTGTCTCTGCCCTTCCGGTTACACCGGCGTGACATGCTATACTAACAAGCCATGCCGCTCCAACATCATAGCTGGAACAGAGCTGAAATTTGCATATTTTGGAAATAGGCCTGGCGATCTCGGCTTATTTTTCTGCAGGGGAAGGTATCCTTCTGTAAGGTTTGCCCTCTGTGTGGATAGCAAATACAGCGCTAAGTGGACTAGACAAGGGAGAGCCTGCCGTGGAGGGAATACTGGCAGCGATTCTTTTCCCTGGACACCCTGGTACAGAAAAACCACAGAGAGGTCCTCGTATCAAAGAACCGACACCACAGATCAACTTCCCACTGCACAAACTAGTCGTGTCGACTTTGCTGCCGACCCTGTAATCTTCCCCGTGGTCCTTTCTTCTTTCGTGCTTCTAAAATTGCTCGTGCAATTTATCATCTACTGCTGCGCCGTGTGTAAGAAAAAAAGTAAGGAAGGCCGCAGAGAAGAAAGGGAAGATGCGAGGAGGTTACAGGAAGATGACGGGGAATTAGGAACGAGACTGGAACAAGTTGTTAGGGCCGGGAGTCAAATGGAACTTGACAGTGGTATCCAGGATTACCAACCAACCGTCCAGGGACACCAACGTGAAAATGAAAACGGAAAACTGAGCCGCAAAAGAGGATTGTACAGAAATGCAAGTTTATGGCGAATCTTTTCCATGCTCTTGTTTTTTTACTTTCACCTTTGGGTGCTGTATCTGGTGGGTTGTGAAATTTCCCAGTGTACTCGATACGGACATAGTTTCGTCTACTTAAAAATCTTTGGAATTGCAATGCTGTGGTTCTCGTCTGTGTATATTTTCATAGAGAGCATCTTCTCTCGTGAGTTGGATTACTTAAGAAACATTATGCAGGACGAGACCGCTTGGAACTACATACAAAAAATGCATCAACTCGAACCCAGAATTGACATGGTCGTGGAGTGCTATCATCCCACACGTGATGATTCGAAAGTTGTGACATTCGTGGACCACAAAGAATTCTCGTTCGGTTCGTGGGTTGATGCTTCTGAAAGAGAAATACCAACAGTGAGTACAGTGTGGCTTACTCGAGTAAGAATCGATCCTTATGTCTTGTTCGGTGTCCAGGAGACAGCAGATAGTTACGTTTCCGAGATCTATTTACGGACTTCTCAGCGAGAAGAGAAATTCCTGGGCTGACAAAGAGGTTTTCTGCTTATGTGGATTTGAGGGTGAAGCCTTGGTGGATTTGACCTCTGTTCTTTTGGCTGGCCACGCTGTTGCAGATGACTTGGCCTTATCGCTGGCTGTTTAGAGCAAAAACCGGTAAAAGTCATTACGCTCTAAAGAAGTGGATCTATAAGAGTACCACGCCCCAAAGGGAAGTAGACCTGTTGAATCCAATAACAATGCTGACCGATGGTGCAACTTCGACCACTGACTCCAGCGTCCTGGAAAACAGCCAAATATCTTATCCGATGGCAGAGATCGTTAATACAGGCAGAGGGAGCCCCGCCTACGAAAACGGTTGCCCACCGAATCCACCAGGCGATCCAACTGGGAACCCTCCTTTGCCGGTCGCACCCCAACGAAGCGCATCCCCTGCGACTTACGACACTGGCACCTCATTTCCACCTCCTGTGAATAATCCTTATCCCACAGGTGGAGCTGCGATTCCTACTCAGCCACCCGGACCTGTCTACCCTCCTTATTCTGTGGTACCGCAGCCAGACGAGCCCCCGCCATCTTATGGTCATGCTGCTGTAGGATTCACTCCTGACATTCCCCAAGCAAGTAACGAGATCATCCACCCTGGGACTTGAAGGTTGTCGAGAGAATATTAGAGAGAATATTAGAGAGAAATAAACGTATCTGTAGTACCCGGAATCTCTAGCAAGCTGAGTCGCCTTTGGTGCAAAGAAAAACCCTGAATTGAGGGAAAATTATATATAGTCTTGTGATTTGAAACTTTCTCTAATATCGTAACCAGAAATATTTTGAATGTGTTAAGTATTTCAATATTAAGTTTGCTATACTAGGCATTTTAAAACAAAAAAGGAAATAAACAGAGATTCCAATCCTCCCCATTGGATCGGGAGTCTCCCGATTTGATGTCTTGCCTCCCGCTCTCCCGATTTTTACCAAATTCTCCCGATTTATTATAAAATTCTGAAAACTAGGGAAAAATTGCTAATCTTTAGAATTTTTAGCGATCTGTCACTGTGAAACACTCATATTATACTTACTTACTTCGCGAAGAGCATTATGGTATGTTATAACTCAGGCCGGAATGATGTCAAAATTCAGGAAATGGCACGGACGGACGGACGGACGGTCGTTCGGTCGGTGGACGGTCACGTGTTTACCAAATTTTCTCGGATACTTCATTTTCCGCCATGGTATAACAGGCCAGAGCCCCGATTTTAAGTACTAGGCGACTTTGAAAGACGCGTGCTTCACATATTTGTGGCGGATTAGAATGCCGGCTTGGTCAGAGGCCCTTTGTTTAAAACATGGCGGGATACTCGCAGCTTAAGGCAAGCATGTGCCTTGTAGCTGTCAACATAATGCTTTTT